AGAGTAATGGCGTGAGATCGATTACTGGTGCTTCCACTTTAGCATAAAGGCAACGGCAAGGGTTGGTGCCAATCGCTGTCCCATTGCCAACCCTCTAATTTGTGCGTAATATTTCCCGGACCATCTGAAGATCGAGCAGTTTAAACAGACCTTCAGGAGGACCATAAGCTGCTGAATCGAAAAGCCATACATGTTAATCGCTCCTTCGTGTTTCTCAAGAAGCTCACGGATGGCTTGCATTGCGGAGTCGTTCGACACGTTAGTGTAAAGGGCGGTAACGTCGAACGACTCCATAACGTACGCGCTTTTGGGACGTGCGTTACGCAGACGGTCCAGGAATATTTGGATGTTCGTGAGATGGGCTGGTATGTGCCTAAGCAACTGATTGAGGATTAGGTTTATAAACCAAGCAATCCTCTCCGTAGGCCCGTCTACAAAACTGATGATGGGTCTCACTTTAAAAGTGGAGGGGTCGGTAGACGCCAGATCATGAGCGCATATTAACTTATGGGTCTTGATAAGTAAGTATACGACGGGACATGTCGGCGCTTCGATCTTAAGATGCGAAATGTCTGTTGGTTTTAAACCTGTTACGCTTGCCGTTTTGACCCATTCGCTGTTCAGTTTTCGATTTTGACTTCTGAATTCCTTTTCAGTAGATGCGCGATAAAGAGATGCGTTTTTAAGATGTTTTTCTGTTATATCGACATCTAACTGGCGAGGAATTACTACAAACTCTCCACTCTTATCACTAACTGATAGCCTAATAATTTTTGATTTTATTAGCTCTCGAACCTGTCGCATACCAGATTTTTGCGTAGCTGTCAGGTTCGAACTAAATCTTTTCGCGCGGTAGTGGTTAAGGACTTTAAGAGTTTCGTTCGAAAAAATGCGAAATTTTATATCGACTTTGTCGTTTGGGTCTTGCTGTCTAAAGAATAACCGAGGAAATGGAGGTTGTGGTAGTGCCGCTGCTGCTCGTTGTTCCTTTCTATTTTGTGTCTCAATTCTAGTGTTGCTTCGGAGTCGATCTTGGGGCCCGTGCAGGCTGCACGCTATCCTACGCAAGGTTTCTTTAGAAATGTGTTGCGCTGGTGAGAAACTTGGACCCAATTCTAATAACGAGCGCGCGTCATCAGGGAGAGTTATGCCTCCTAAAATTCAGGCACGTTATCGACCACATTTTTAGTGCTAGCGCTTCCGTAAACGATTTTGCTTTGTTTAATTGAAGCTGGTTTTTGCGAATGATCTAGTAAATTTTGAAACTTTCTGCTTAAGGTTACTTTAGCATTCGACCTAATTGAATCACAAATCAAAATTGACCCACCCACTATTCTCTTCCAAAGGGATTTCACCAAATGCTGAACACAATAAGATTTCTTCGACTTGCACTACTTCAATTGCGCAAACATGGTGTTCTGCTTGCATCGAAGAGAGGCGCATAGTAGTCGCGTTTCGATGTCCAGTACTAGTTGGCTGTCCCTCGGTAGGCCGCATACAGGCCGTTTCTTATGCGAATGCAAATCGATTTGTCAAGTTTTATCTGCTAGGGTTATGAAAGTGTTTGGCTAAGTAGATCATATCTCAATTTGACCTTCCCAGGCTCCGAAGAAGGCGAAACCGCCGAAACGTCAACTATTGTATTCAAATAAATTCTATATTAACAATCTCGTGTCTGCTTGTTGAAGGAAATACTTTGAAGATAGTGCAGCATAATGGGTAATAAATCTTTGCATTGTCGATCGTGTGACAGGGAAATGATTTTTGGCAGAATCAATTTTCTCGTAATCTCAGCAGTTTTTCACTCCTTAAGTGTTTTTACATTGCAGTCTACTACTCTGCAGAACAAGTGGATAATAGAAAAGCACTCTAATAAGAAAGAATCCGAGTACAACGAGAAGATACGGTAGTTCTCTGCTATGGTAATCTGTTGTTCACACAGCTACTTCTTTTAAAAAAACAAAAAGTAGAAAAGTTGTAGGTAAACTGTAAAAGGAAAATCACTTTAAAATTTTAAATCATGAGAAGAAGCAAAAACTAAGAGCCGAAATCGATAGTGTGAGTACGACGCAGCGTTGAGTAAGGTCTAGTCGACTTCAAGTTAATTATGCATGTTATGAGACAGGTTCCGACTCATTGCTGATCATTGCCTTCCTTCTCACAGTTAAATTGACGAGCTTTACTAAGACAGTTTTGCTAGGATTTAGATCCATGAGTTTCAGTAGAATTCTTTTCGTTTATGGAAAATTTACCAAAAGTAGCGCATGTTCCAGATTTTGTAGAACAACACGGAGGGATTTCTCGATTTCGAAACAGCAACTGTGCAATAATTGATAATTGCTGAGTCTGACTATATACAAGCAAAACATTCCCAAGCTCGCAACATCAGTAGAAAAGAAAGAAGAAAAACGAAGAATCTGGAAAATAACAGCGTAATAAATTGACAACCTGTAATGTGTGGCCGTTCAACACTCACAAAAGTTCAATCCTGTTCGACAGCTTTGGTCTTCAAATCGGTAGAAAAAAGTGTCTACAAACATCCAGAACAACTGAACGAGACAGCAAAAGAAAATACATATCCACTGGATTTTATAAGACTTAAGGAAAACTGAATCCACAAATAAGGCTATTAATTGTCGACAGGTGTTTTGGTACCAATATTGCATGCATGTGGGAGCCGTGGTCAACTTTAACTCCATTGGTGTAGTGGTGAAGTGCGCTGCTCCCCGGTAAGGACAACAGCGCGTGTTCGTTCCCCACTGCATACACCTGTGGTCCGGAGTTTTGCAGATATCTCAGCACTTCATACGAGTTATATTTCACAACATACCCTGCCATTAAGAAGAAAAAGGCAGTAAATAAAAGAGTTAAGATTTTAACTCCATTCTTACTCTTTTCCAGAGCATTTTCCATTACCTTATCCATCACAATGCAATGGATGCCACGAACTTCTATGTTTGAGCAATTCGTCAGAATCTTCAAGCTTTTAGAAAGGCTAAACGAAATAAAAATAAATGAGAAGTTTATATCAATTTTTTCATTGATAAACTAAAGGTTAATAAAGGGATTTATTCGGCTAATGTTTTGACGTTTTCTTCTTCATTAGAGCCGATGATCCGAGTCGATGGTCCGCAGTCGTTCACATTCTCGATGTAGTTTCTTCGCCGTCCTATCCAGCCGAACCTTCTTCAGTACAGCACCGCTCGAATGAGTAAACCTCACCCGGTGGCACTCTTTTATACAGGACAGTTGCTGACGATTCTGATTACCCTTTGATAACAAATTGCTTATTAAAGCGTCTACCATTTCGCTACAGTCGATACTAAAATAGCTGACAAATAGCGAATCAATAGTTCAAAAACCGACTTTCACAATAATCTTGGCATGATTAATTCAAGTGGTGCTTGATTGAACAGGATTCAAGTCGATGATACGACGACGAAGACACGACACTGAGAGTATGAAAGGCTGTGGAGATCGACTCGGATCATCGGGTCTGAGGAAGACCAAGGCGTCAAAACGCTAGGTGAATAAACCTCTCTGTCAACCACTTGTTAGCTTATCAGTGAAATAATACACATTGATCAGTCCTGTCGGAGGTTAAATGAAAGCCGGTTTTTGAAATATTGATTCGCCATGAGCAGTGTGTAGTTACAGAATGAATGTATGGGAGACTCTAAGGAGAGAAAAACATGCAGAGAATGAACAACAGAAAGAAAATGTTAATTGGAATAGTGCGCTTGCATGGAGAATTTGAAGGCCAAGCTGCACTGCGGGTGACCTCTCCAACACGAAAAACAAAGTGGCTCACGGGAAAATTCCGAAGGCCTCCATGTCCGTGGAACAATCATTGTTCGTTGAGTACCGTCAGTTTGTATCACTTTGGGATCATAGGCGATGTAAAATATGCATATTTTAGCACTCATTGATCTTTTTATGTGAGGGCTCCAAATTTGTCACCCACGTGATCCTTTACAGCGCTGAGAAGCAACATAGACAAGAGAGAAAAATAACTAAGGACTACCAATCATGGTGTCGGACATTTTTGGCAATATAGTTTTGAAGACGACCGAATAGTGTTATTCACGAATGTGAAGTATTCACCGTGAAGAGCAATCACCGCAACTAAAGTAAATTACTAACAAAAATGATCTTGCAGCTTAGATGTATGGTTACAAAAAGGAAGTGCGATACATGTTCTCGTCAGCCATGAGCAACTCTGATCAGCGGCTCTTCGTTAGTGAAAGGGGGAAAAACGGCTCTGAATAAGGCGATACTACCGAAACGTCAGCTAACGCTGTGTTGTATGTGTTGTTCTTGTAAGGAAGTAAACTTGTGCCGAATAACAACCTCGCGATTGCTGAGAAAGAAAGCGAGACATTTATTATCCAATTACGAGGTTAATAGAAAGCCGATCTTGGGATATGTGTTCTTTAAAAAATAACCACGTTCCATCACAAATGCGTAGTTCTAATACAGAATAACCGATTTCTTTGTAAGGAAAATAAAGACCGAGACACTCTGGTACAGTGATAGGCATGAAGGGAGATGAAAAACACGAAAAGAAGGAAGAAGGAAGAAGCACTCTCATCGTTGTTTTTGGTGATTGTTTGTGGAAACCAGGTAAATTATTCGAAGGTGACGCCTAACGCATCAATAAGATTCTCAAACGGCGAAGAAGATGCAAGGTGAGAGCAAATTTCCAAAAAAAAAAAGAACGTAATCATTTTTAAACGACCATCCATAAAAAGCAGATGAAGAGTGTTTTCTACGTGGGATAGAAACCACAATGAAATATGGAAGGAACCATATTGTCACGAGACTGGGCGCTGCGTTGCAATTCTTCCATGAGTTCAAGGGCAATAAAGGGAAGAGAATAGACCATACAGAATAGGAAAAATCCTGACCAATTAGATTTCACATTGTTCTTACAGTAACAAATTTCTATCAGAAAAAAATTCATCTGAGATTGGTTACAATGGATCGCGAGAATTATGACGTCACTTCCGACCGATAGTATTCACTAAATATTCGTTGTATTGCGTACGTAGACGTCTCACCTGGAATTACCGCAGATTCTTAGGGTTACTCTGTGGAATAGAAAACTGGCACCGTACCTCAGCTTTGATTGGTTCGTAGTTCGTCTCACTTTCACGTGCTTCAACTTCAGCACGTAGACGTGCGTTACTCTCTTTTAGCATTTCCAACTTTCGCATTAGGTTTTTTTGCTAAAGTTCGTAGTTTTGCATTAGTATTTCGATACCTGTGCGCTCTATAATACATTCTGCTCTACTTACTTTTCTAAGAACTCGATAAATCTATTCAACAAGTCCAATAAGATATTCGTATGCTACCCATTTCTCACTTTTCTCATTGACAATTCTATCCGTTCTGCTCAGATTACTAGTGTTTTTTCGTTAGGAAACATTCAATTTCGCAATGTGAAAGTAGCCAGTCTTTATCAAATAACATAAATGGTTATTAACGATGGCTGAGGGAAGTGCAGTATATAGAGGGTTTTGCAATATACCGTTGGCTCGATCGCGCGCTATGGGCAAACCAAGACCGCTATCGTTGTGTGATCAAGAAATTTCTACCAGTCTTTTCCGGTAGAGTGCGTGTGGTGCAGTGGTTGGAGGTGCCACTGCGACACACACGTGGAATCGATCCCCGCGCCCACGGCTCACTAAGCCTTCCATCCCTCCGGGGTCGGCGATAGCAGCACTGGCTCGATACATCGGTAGGCCACCGAGAGTCATTGTAAAGGCCAGGATTACATTCAGTCACCTCCAACGATACTTAATGAAGTCGAATGCATGGCCCATCCCTCATGAATATATCAACGCTGAGAGCTTCATCCTTCTTTATCCTTTTTTTTTCGATAGGACAAAAAATTAACTTAATAAATCGATAGACTCCCGTTAAAAAGGCCAAGTATGCATTCGATCACCTCTACGATTTCTCATGAACTCGAATACGTAGTGTATCCCTAAAATAAACGTTGAACGCCTTGTTTTAATTTTATTTCATTATTTACGTACCCACTAGAATAATCAGTCGAAGCCTTTTATCCAGGCTAATAGAATTCTGATCTTCTGAGCTCATTAAGAAACAAAATAAGTACTTACCGTTGCATATCTTGGATTGTTTTCAAGTTTCTCAGTAAGTTCACGTAGTCTTACCCGTAGGCGTTCACAATGCGCTTCATGTTCCGGTAACACACTCTCTAACTCGTCACGACGTTGCTCTAACTTCTGTTATGAAGCAACTAACATTAAAAAATAATAAATATGAAGCTAATTAGTCGTTAAAAACCTGTATATTTTTCTCAGCTCTGACAGAGATCTTGTCAAGATCGCTGTACGACGCGTATTCTTCGGACAACTCGCCCAATCGCCGCTCAAGGGTTGCGATTTCTGATTTTAGACGTGTCTCGTTTTCTTCTAATAGCATCATCTCCTCTTGCAGTCGAACATGCACTGAATTTCCGACGTTTCATCTTCAAAATGATCACGTACTGAGGGAAATACTTTTCTCCTTATGTTTCAAGCCTAGAACATCGTTGCCGACTTCAATTTTCTTCCTGCATGTTAAGCACATTTGATAGATCGTTTTTCATGCATTACGCCCTAATGGCCTCTATTCAAACGGGATAAATTTTCATTTGTGAGAAAAATGCCGGTGAAGGGGTTTGCGATTGGACAATGCGCTCCGTGATTTATCAATAAAACAGAGTAGACAATATAACTTTGTGAAGTTACTACTTCACAACTATGAAGTTTAGTCTATTTCATCTAATACAAAAGTTCCTTTTCCGAGTAGGACCCACTATAAACTCACAGTTCTGAAGCTCTGTCGGTGAGGCGTTCTCTTGCAAAAGAAGCAGTTCATCTCGATCGACGATGTTACTAGTTGCATTGGCTGATTCTAGCTGTAAAATACTAGGAACGATAAGAAAATTCCAGAATTATAAAAACCAATCATATATTTAAGAGCTATTCCAGCGGTTCATGAAATGCAGCTTTATGTAGCGAGAAAAGAAATACTGGATCACCTTCATAATGTTAGCAGATATCTTTTGCAGCAGGCGAACAATATCGTCAGTGTATGCTTCTAGTTCCTTGTTAAGAGTCTGGAAAAGTATAGCATTCTTTCATCGCTTTCTAGGAAATCCTTTAGTCTGCCTTGTTTATCATTTATCTGGGTTCATCTAGAGCGTGCTTATGCAGTGGAAGTTACACCTTTTGACGAAAGAATGGCTGAAGTTTAGGAGGCTCCCATGGGTCTTTTATATTATTGCTCTCTTTCTCTTCCTCTCTCCTCCTCTATATATATATCTCTGCCTGTCTGCCTTTCTTAACCCATCTCTACTCATCTTACTGAATTACTTAAAAAGAAGTGACACGCTATACCGACGACAACAAAATTTATATAGATGGAAAGCGTAAAACTGTAAGCGGGAGCGTTCAAAGACGCTATGATTTTCTTAACAGTACTTTGTTCTTTAACCACAAAGCTTCCGTTAAGAGCACCAGAACTAGAACCCAGTTCTGTTGTGTAGCTGAGACACAGTTGAGCTAACAGGTCTACCGGTCTGCGGGCTTCAGACACCAGCGCAACGCGCTTCGACGGACTCCTTCTTAAACTCAACACACTATGACAGACGAGCAGAACGGTGTAGAGGATACCAAAAAGATGCATGGCACTGGGAAGGCTATGGAGTAGGTGGATAGATGTTTTCATTGTGCATGTCATGCAGTCGTCTCTGGTCAGCATGTCTCGAGTAAATCATTTTCCACTGCATAGAGATCTCAAGTGAAGGAAATCATTGAAGGTTATGGTCAGCCTTAGGAGTCTTGCGGATAGACCACTTGGGAGTGTAAATCTTACAATGCGCTCTTTCACAGTAAATAGGCAAAATACATCATCCAAACTTTTGGTGATGATTAGACGTTTCACGCCATAAGAAAACCTCAGGCTGAAGACGACTTTTAAAGTTCATTGTCTAGGATTGGTCATATTATAGATATTATACCTGTTTTTGATGTTCATATCCCTCAAGAAATTCGTCATATTCTCGTTCTTTAATCATTAGTTCGCGATACTTCTCACTGTTCTTCGCTGGAAACTTGTCATTAAATTCGATAAATAGAGGACCTCTTTGTTTTGTTCCAACTAATGCCAACATATTAAGCCGTTGTAAAGAAAAAATCCTACATATTCGTTTATTTTTCCTTATTTCATTAAATAGTAACAATCGATACATAAGAAACGATAGCTTATTTCTTCTTTTTTAACCATTTTTCTTCGTTCCAGTTGTTTTATGTTGACTTCATAATGTCATCTATTGACACCGAAGCTGTTAGCCCCAATAAAGAATGAAGGATAAACACCCCGGAGTTGATCAATCCCTGAGGTATTCGCCATGCGTTCAACTTCATTAAGCATCGTTTGGAGGTGATTGGATGCATATCTGGCCTTTACAATGACTCGCGGTGGCCTACCGGTATATCGAGCCAGTGCTGCTATACTCCCAAACAAGTCTGGTACAATTTGGAGACCCCACAGTGATGGAAGGCTTGGTGGGCCATGGGAGCGGAGGTGGACTCCACGTGTGTGTTGCAGGGCGCCTCCGACCACTGCGCCACACGCGCCCTGCCCCTAATAAATGAACAAAAAGAGTTGAAATGCATAGAAAAACATAATGGATAAAATAAAAATAAATAATAAATCAGCGAATAAGTGCAACGTGCAAAGAAACAGGTGAGTTATTAAAAAGCTAATAAGACCGACTTTCTACAAACCTCGTATTTTGCAATCGATACCTATATGTATTCTAATGAACGGCCCTTGTTGAGCTAACCAAGTGCAAGCAAAATCCTAACCGAGCTTATGGTCAGCACCGAAGTCGAATTCGCGTATTTCTTCGTGTACCATGTTTATCATTTCGTTCAGTTTTTGAATCCTTCAAAAATGACGAAATATATGCAACACGAGAAATATTAATTAGTAAATTCAGAGAGCATCACGAATGATTCAGAAATTGTAAAGTTCCTTCTCAAGTTAATACATTGCAGATAGTGTGGGTTCCACACAACCACCCAGCGCTCCGAATGGCCGCTATGATCTCTATAGAGGCCATTTTCGGTCTAATCGCTTATTTTCCCTCTCACAACCCTTTTCCTAAACTTCTTGTAATCAATCGATAGCTCATCCAACACAAATAGTGTGAGGGTATTGCCAGGAAAAGCCTCTATTCTATCTCTAGAAATATGCAAAAAGAACCCTTATGTTAACAATCATAGTCACTGCGTGGAATGAATGGGTATAAAAGTACCGCCAAGACACAGCATAAGTAGCAAAACACTTCAGCATGCTTACAGCAATGTGTTTATGTGAATAATCATAGTGAAACGAAAAAATAGTGGAATAGATACCTTCCTTACCATGGAACGATAGAGAAAAGTCTCTTCTACAATACCGTCATGATTGCAATCCATCATGTCCTTTAGCTATCCAGAAATTAATAACTCAAAAGGCTGACTTTCTATAAACCTCGACATAGATAGTTGATATATTTATTTATATGATCTTAAAAACTGATCTTCTTTAGCTGACGCGACGTCGGTGCAGCTCTTCGTTGTCGCTGTCTTGTTGTTGGTGTTGTTGGTCGATGGCTGACGTTTCCGCCATTTCGCCTTCCTCATAGCCTGGACATATTTTATTCTTTAATTATTCGGTGGAAAAAGGCTAAAGTATTAATGAAGATCAAACTTTTGAATAAACGCTATATTGATCAGAAAGACTACTCACCGTGATATGACGAGTGGGACTGGCCCATGCGTTGTTCTCGTGGGGTCGCGAGCAAGACACACCTCGGGGTCAAAATATCATTTTGAATTAGGGCGCCAGGTCACGCGTGATAGTGAGGCATTCGTCCTTCCGGTTCATCTGTGGATTTTTGAAATTTATCCAAAACGCCTCAAGAGTTTTGCGCGTTGATGTTTTTGGTTCCTGCGCTCGGATCCGCACAGTCACTTCAAAATCATCGCCGTTGTGCTTTTGTGCTCTATGTGTACCTAGAGGGTTGTTTAAACGGATTTTGACTTTTCCATTTAGGTGTTCTTTCATGTGGACACAAAGTGGTCTACCCGTTTCCCCAGTATATTCCTCATCGCATGAGTTACATGAGATCAAGTGATCATACAGTTTTCTGAGCTGCACAAACGATCATAGAGACGGCTGCGAACTAACTGACGGCGTGGCATATTGGGTAAGTTGTCAATAATCGCTACATATTTTCAATACTACTTTTTCTTAAGCATCTCTTAATGGCGCAACTTACTTCATTTGATCCGTCATTAATTTCATTTGTTTGATTTGAAATTCGTCTAAACACCTCTCTAGGTACGAATAGGGCACAAAAGCATAACGGCGATGATTTTGAAGTGACTGCGCGGATCCGAGCGCAGGAATCAAAAACATCAACGCGCAAAACTCTTGAGGCGTTTTGAATAAATTTCAAAAATCCACGGATGAACCGGAAGGACGAATGTCTCACTATCACGCGTGTCCTGGCGCCCTATTTCAAAATGATCTTTTGACCCCGGGATGTGTCTTGCTCGCGAGCCCACGTGGACAACGCGTGGGCCAATCCCACTCGTAACATCACGGTGAGTAGCCTTTCTGATCAATATAGCGTTCACTTAAAAGTTTGATCTTCATTAATACTTTATCCTTTTTTTCCACCGAATAATTAAAGTATTCTAATATAAAATACATCCAGGCTCTGAGGAAGGCGAAATCGCCAAAACGTCAGCCATCGACCAACAACACCAACAACAAGACAGCGACAACGAAGACTTTTACCAACCTCTCATCCGCTAAAGAAAATCAGTTTTTGAGATCATGTAAGTAAATATATCGAGAAATTATCGTTTATTTATTTTTATTTTATTTGATCCGTCTTCACGTCTACTGTGCGAATCCCAGCACTTCTCGCATTCGATTCGTTTCCTCTCATCCGTTGTCCACGAAGGTCTTCCAAATTTTTAAGTGTGGCCTCGGTTGCTGCTTGCGGATTTTCATTTCATCTCGAATGTTGTAGATTGCTGGTCAGGCAATTCTCCCTGGAGTCTTGAGATAGCCGGGCTGAAGCGTTCCCGATTGGATTGCAAAAATGATTTTCCAGACAGGACCGGTACCAATTTCCCAACCCCAGAGGGATCAGAGGCTTCGATGACCCGAAGCGGAATCGAACTGACACCATGCTCGTGATGACGGACATCATTACCACTGTGTTATCCGCGCTCCTCAATTATCGATAACGATAATTTAATTGTCGTTTATTGTCGGAAAAAAATCCAGCAAATCCGTGGAGGTTGAAAACTAACGTGCCATTTCAGTCAGGGGAACCGAAAACGTAGCGGAGATCATGTTTTAGGAACGTACTGATAATTTTCGATCAAGACACTGTTCCACTACGGATCGGGTCCAGTGCGATATAGATATAGATAGCTAATTAATTGCTGATCAGCTACGTTTGCCAAATGTACAAGAGTGATCTCAACATGAACATCTATTTGAAACTGCAAAGAATGGTCTGAATATCTTACTGTTTTTCCATTGTCGAAATTTGTTCGTTATTCGTTTTGATTTCTTCAATGAGTTTTTGTTTCTTTTGTTCGGGTGTCTCTTGTGCTTCCTTCTCGGCTAACAGTGCTGCTTCCTTCACTTGTAGGTCGTCAAGATTTCGTCGCATTTGTACTGTAAATATTAAGAAAGTTTTCTTTAATTGTCAAATCTTTTCTCATAATTTAATTCGTTCAAAATACACAGCTTGTACAGCTTCTTATTTACTGCTTTTTGTTTTTGGGTAATATGTGACGTACAACGACAGTGAAGCTGAGATAATTGTAGAACTTAGATCCTAGGCCAAATTCTCAGTGATGCAGTGAGTAACACGTGAGCTCCCGGTAAGGGTAATCTCGGTTCGAATTTGGCTTCGATCTGACTTTTGCAAATATCTTGGCTTCATTCTGGTTAATTTCGTTCAGTTTTATTGGATAGGCCACTTATTACCAACTGGCTTTTTTCTTTAATGGGCAGTTCCCAAGCTCGACTTCCAGTTGGTCTTTTCTTTCGTTTAAATTGTTCAGTTCCTCCTCCATCTCTTCTACTTCAGCTCTTAAGGCTTCACATTGCTCCTTAGCGTCCTCGTAGTGTTCACGAATACTAGGATCCTGAAAGGAAAATGATTTTCTTGTACCCGGAATTTCACAGTTCGTTAATTTCTCGAACAAAGCGAAGTTTTGGCGACTGATTGGAACAATCGTTCCTCCCTTGATTGTAAATTTGTAACGTGCTTTGAAAGAGCAACCAGTCCTAATGACTTCGTAGGTCTTTTTAAGCAATACTTTTGTTGTACACAGAAATGTAAAGGTATTAAATGGATTTTTGACCGACCATACTGTGTAAGAGCACACATACCATGCCGGCTAATATTGCCTGATTCAGGCGTTTCTGCTCATCGATCTCCGTGGCAATTTCTTCAATTTCGATCTCACGAGCTTGACGTTCATTGAAAAGTTCTTGGACGGTGGCCTCTATCTACAAAAATATACTCTACTGACCTAAAGTAATCATTCGTAAATCAGACCATCCGTTCACATCATCTGCTATTTCTTTTTCGCGACGTGCTTCCGCCTCGATTTCGTTCATTTCGTGATTCATATGCATGCGATCCACCAACTGTAATGAAATGCAACCGTTAATGAAGCATAGAAAAATATGAAAGAAAAGCTCTTTCTTATGCATAATAAAGAAACTGACGACGTTGTAATCGATTAATTTCCCTTGTAGTTCTTTTAGCTCCGTGGCACTCTTTCTCGCTCTAAATTTTCATATTTTCAGACATTAATCGGCCTGAATTGATGTATAATATGTTGTCTCTGATGGAAAAATGATCCAATCAGTTTCAAATTTAAGAATGAAACCACAACAACGCCATTATCACCGCTATCACCAACACCAACAATAAGAGAAACAGCAGCAGCAACGAAAACAGCGACAACTGCTGTAGCAGCAACGATAGCAGCAGCAACAGAAACAGCAACAATTGCTGTAGCAGCAACGATAGCAACAGCAACAGAAACAGCGACAATTGCTGTAGCAGCAACGATAGCAGCAGCAATTATCATAATAACACAATGATGTCGGGATATTTGCAAAACTCCGGAACGCAGGTGTCTACGGTGGAGAATGAACGGAAAATTGTAATAGGCAGTAAATAAAAAAGTTAACATTATCTTAGTAACAGTTCCTTTACAAGATCGTAATATGCAGCTTCATTTAATGAAGTCTGAAAAGTGGATGAAAAATTGGTGACGAAAGTTGGCATTTGATTGCCAACGACTTTTGCTAATGGTTCTGTTTCTTGAGACATTCTCATCATTCAAAAATAATGACGTTATGAAGAATGCAGTAAAATGAGAAGCTTTACAAAAATAGTAACTTCCATAGTATCATTCATCCACCTGGCTAAATCGACAAACTTGCTTGAGTTTTCTCAAGAACTTCATTAAGTCGACTCATTAGTCACAATATGGTTTCGCTGAGAACCTCACGTAAGCTTATCAATAAACGAAAATATTGAGTATCCATGCTCAGACAACATCAAAGTCGCTTTTTTAAAGTGTTATGTATATTTCTTACCTACTAAAATCCGGAACAAAAAAATAATTGGGAACCGATGATGACTTCATCGAGACAGACCTCTGTTCGTAGGCGTCAAGTTCCGAGCGATCACGTTCACCTTTTTGGTAAATCTCTTCGAGATGGGCGATTTCAGCTGTCAACTGGTTCATTTTTACTCGAAGGACGCCCATATAGTAGGATTTGTCGTGTACTTGACGCATACCTTATAAAATACGTTTTTTTATTTAATCGCATCCCATCAATTTTTTCGAAGTTCAACTTCTTTTTGTTTACCATCGGAAACAAAACCTCTACATGCTCATACTACAGTATTTTCTATTGTTTTAGAACAATATCAACACTAACGTTGCTGAGATATTTGCAAAACTCTGGACCGCAGGTGTCTATGGTGGGGAACGAACGCGCTATTGTCCTTTCCGGGGAGTAACGGTTCACCACCACACCATGCGGGTCCTTTGTTTCGCCTGTCTCTCAGCTATTTCTATCGATCTTTTTGCCACAGCAACTACCCGTCAGCGGGGTTTGACGTCGGCGTTCGTTCCCCACCATAGACACCTGCGGTCCAGAGTTTTGCAAATATCTCAGCAACGTTGTGGTTGTATTTCGCTTAGTATCCTGCCGCGAAATTATAGTAGGCAGAAAATAAAAAGGTATAATATCAACACTCTCGCGACGAATAACGCCCGTAGGCGTCATAATGATTTTGCTGGAGTAGCGGGTAAGATACCTATAGGTGTCATTTGTTTTCCAGTGGTTTGCTACTACGCATAGAAGTTCTCTCCTGTAATTCTTGTGATCATTCGATAGCTTTTCCAGCGCAGATGTTATGGGATTGGTCGTCTGCGGAAGAGTTTCTTCTTGGTTATTCCCCACTTGTTTCCTCATTTTGGGACGAGAGGCTATTGCTGTTGAAGAGAGTGTGCGGCGTAGAGAGTGTGACCAGTGAAGAGACGCACAAATGCCTCACCCTCGAAGAACTGGCATCGCAGGCAGAGTGCATCATCATTTCTGCGAAGGAATTCGTTGTTTTCTAGCTTTCAATTGCTATGATAACTTTTGGGTATTCCATAGAATGAGGGAATATCAAAACTAAACAGCATATATCGTAATATTCCTTGCAGAACTTATATAACTTTAATAAGTACTGACAGCAGTACGCTTGAATAATGGACGAGTGTTTTCTCTTTGTACACAAGAGTTCTACATGCACCAAAAAAATTGGTGTGTGTGCAAAAGAGTATGGAGCATATATAGGATAAGAGAAACACAGAAATTTATTCAAAATGCACAGAAAACCGATTTGTAGTAAGGAAATCACAAAAAAGAGGCGGGAAATATGCAAACTGCCATTTTGGCCGGTGTGACACCTGTAGGTGTCACAATGAGCGCAGCGAAAAGTTATGCATCGTTCACTCCACAAAAATGCGAAATTAGGCGTCGTCGCAAGAGTGTTAAAGGTTCAGAAACGAACATATAACAGCTAGCAGAAATTAAAACATTGAAGGAAAACAATTCAAGTCATCAGGCTAAGAAAATATGGGAAAATAGCTGTCTTGTTAGTGTTTCTGTGCATACTTTTCCAACTGCAAATGAATTGTATAGGGAGTCAGCCACCTCAGTGTTGAGACCAATAATTGGATCACAACATGAGGAAACAAAACTTTTTTGATGGGAAGAAAATCGTATAAATGCCGATTTGGCTTCTTAGGTAAAACTCTCACGCCATTCTCTGCTGAGAAAGAAATCGCCATCATTAACACAACAGCTTTTCATACGATAGATGCAACTTTTCGATTCTATGGAAACATTTGCACCCATGGAGAATTCGGTTTTCTGATGAGAAATACGTACGTATTTCAGAAAATCGAGTCGTCGATGAATCTGTACTGACAAGGCATACCGATGATAATGGTTCAAATGAAACTTCGCCTAAGAAACTAACTTCCAGTGCGAAGTCTGCTGACCGCTCTGCCGCCGCTCAGTCCTTGTTGTGTGACCGGACGAATGATCGGATTCACACCAACAGAAGGCGGTCGGGCGATGCCAGTCATAGGACGTTCTCCAATCATCTGAGCAGCTTGAACATTGGAATCAGTAATTCGGATAGATGGAAAGTTCAGATAAGTTCAGATAGAGGACTTTTCAGGGAATAAATAGCACTTTTCTATGGAAAAGCTCACTGATTTGCAAAACAAATAGTTTTAATTGTTTTTAAGGCTATGTGAAATAACACTACTGCCTGTAGTCTGGAAAAACCCGAAAGAACATTCGAATTAAACTATTTCTCTTCAATTCTTACTCCAACCTGGCAGTCTTTGATCGGAACAAAAAAGAAGATCGTAACAGTGAAAAAAATCTTTGTACCACTTACCATGCTGCTGCCGACACGTACCGGAGTTGAAGTCCTTGAAGCTTAAAATCGAAATCAGAACAAATAATTGTGTGATTAGAACTTTTATAGTGGCTAAACAAGATCGGCAATGATCCTACCAAGACCATTTCGGGATGGAGGTGTAGGCATAACAGGACCGGCACGTGAAACTGAAACCCTCGACGGTGGTCTTGTGGGAATTGGAATCGAACCTGAACACATTGGAATTCCATGTGGATCAGGCATTATTGTTTCCAAAACCCGATTCGCTAAAGACTTTTCTGAATTTCTAATTTTAAATCTAAATTTTCTTTGTAGTTAAATGCGAAAAATCGATTACTGTGCGAAGAAAATGCGAGAATAATCTGAGAGTACCGTTGTCAGCGAGATGTTCAAGGGGAGCAGCTCGTCGAGCCGCACTGGCTGCTCGACCGCTAGACGTTTTCGGACGAGCTGATGGAGGGCGTGACATCTAATTTTATAAATATACATCATTTAATTGGACTTCGGTTACTATAAGCTATTAAACATGTTTGAGGATAAGGAAGACCAGAAGAGAACAAATGAGACATTTCCTAGCCAGTGAAAAATCATCTTCTAAAATCTTTGCCTTCAATGCGTTTTTGTGTACGACTATAAAACGCTTTGCATACCTTGACGAAACTTTGAAAGAATAGAACTCTCTTCAGAAGCAGCGTAATTTCTAACGTCGCTTGCAGTTGTTTTTTGGCAGTTAATCAACTTTGCATAAAGAAATTTGTCTGGAATAGACTGTAAGAATAAATTCAGCTGCAATGAAGTCACGAAAATCTATAGCGCGTCTGTTGAGAGGAAATAGTTTCATACTCGTTTTTTGCGCCAATTTTATCGACTGACGCTATAAACAGTAAGGTAAGGAAAAATTTTGTTGATGTATTGTTTGTCTGAAAACGAATTGGTCTGCAATGTGAAATAGAAAGCAGTGAAGATTCAAATATTAAACCAAAATGCTGCGTTTCCGTTGCCATGGTGACAAGGCTAGTGCCGAGGTGGCGACCATTCACACTACTCCCCATCCGTACTAAGTTAACCATAGCAACCTCAACATTGAACAAAACGAAATATTTCGTGAACGAGAGCGAAAACCGATAAGGGTGCTTAAATAATTTATTCGGCCCTGTAAGCTTGTGACAGTGAAGTGTTAACGCAGTGTCGGTGAAACCAATCATTAGAAGCGCGGTGATGGTTCGGATTCGCCACGGGTTCACGGAGCCTCTTATTCGTCCGAGGTCGAAAAACTGGTACCAAATTTCGTTTGGTTCACCTTTGTAGTCTAAGTGGGCACGTTCAAGAGGTGTTATTCAAGGATTCAAGAAAGAATCGACTCTACCAGAATTCAACAACATTCCTGGAAAGACTGCAGTCCTTAAGCAGCAGCCGAAACCATACGCAAAAGTTGGAAGACGTTCGTGTATGATGTGAGATGAAATGAATTGAATTCGAGTGCTGGGATTCGAACATTAAATGTGAAAGACGGGTCATGATTTAAAATAATACCTATTGAGGGAGAGTTGCGTTGTATTGGTGTGTTTTCAACGCATAAATAGGTTTCTAAAGTGATGGTGGCTCGTGCTCGGCGTTGGTCAATTTTTGAGGGATGCGCCATGCCTTCGATTTCATCAAGTATCGTAGAGCCGATTAAGTGCCTATCTCGACCATAGAATGACTTTCGGCGCACTATCTATGCATAAAGTCAGTGCTGCAACCGTCCAAGATAAGCCAACCATCAAAGATACCAGGTTGCGATCCCATAGGAATTGCAGGGTTGGCGAGGCTCTGCACGTATGGAACCTCCGACTTATCCAGAGTCTACTGCACGGCACCTTTAACCACTGCACTATAAGCGCCAGTCAATTTGGCACTTGAATACTGTTGTTAAGACTTAATTTATAAACTAAAAGTACAGATTCGTGATAGTACTTATGGATTTTCGGAGACTGTGGACAATCGACTGAATCCGCAAGTATGACTTTGAACACCGACGCCAGACTCCTCCCCTACAGACAGTTTTAGAGTAACGCGGGTGTGTTCTAAGAAAGCGTTGCAAGTTTGGAAATATAGAATTCCTAAATCTGCCGTTTTCTTTCTCAGCAATCGCGAGGTTTTTAAGCAGTATACGTTTACTTCCACACAATAACACAAATACAACACAACCGTAATCGTGGCTACGATTGTGTTGAATGAAAAAAGGCTAAAGTATTAATGAAGATCAAACTTTCAAATAGACGCCATATTGAACAGAAAGGCCACTCACCGTAATGTTACGTGTGGGACTAGTCCACACGTACTTCACGTGGGGTCGCGAGCGAGACACACCCCGGGGTCAAAATATCATTTTGAAATAGGCCGCCAGGTTACGCGTGATAGTGAGAGCATTTGTCTTTCCGGTTCATCTTTGGATTTCTGAAATTTATCCAAAACCCCTCCAGAGTTTCTCGCGTTGATATTTTCGATTCCTGAGCTAGGATCCGCACAGTCACTTAAAAATCATTGCCATTGTGCTTTTGTGCCCCATGCCTACCAAGAGGAGTGTTTTGATGGATTTTAACTTTCCCATCTAAGTGTTCTTTTATGTGGACACAAAGTGATCTACCCGTTTCCCCAACATATTCCCCGCCGCATGCATTACATGAGATCAAGTATATTATACCTAAACTCATGCAATCTTCGTCTCTCATGTTAGGACAGATCATGCAAATTTTTGAGCTTTACAAACGATCATAGAGACGGTTTCGAACTAACTGACGCCGTGGAGCATTGGGTGGGATGTCAATAATCGTTACATAATTTTCAAGACCACTTTTTCGGAAGCATCTTTTAAGGGCGTTACTTACTTCATTTAATATGAAGGGTAGCTTAAGGGTGATCTCGCTTACATCCAAAACATTATTTTGGAGATCTACCCTACGTTTTTGTCTAATTCGAGTGGCTTCTACTTCGCAGCCATTGGAAATGGCTACTTTTCGGACCAGGTTTAACGATTCCCCAATATATTCCTCACCGCATGCGTCACATGCGCCTTTCCTCTTTTCCTGTACACACATTTTTAGCCCCACGGTACATGTTTTTGATAAGTGCTTTTTTCAATGCGTGGTGGATGAGAGGAAAGGAAATGAATTTGTATATTTTTACGACTTGGCTTGCGATACCATTTTGTTAAATAGCCACTTGCTGAGAGCTTTACTTGGATGTTTAAGAACGGAAGCCAGTTCTCGGTAGGTTTTTCTCGTGTAAATTTTATATACTCTGACTGTCAGTTTAATAATTCAAAGCACTCATCCATCTGTTCTTGTGTGGAACAGACGATGAAGCAGTCGTCTAGGTATCGACAGTAGAGTAAAGGTTGGTGATCGAGAACGGAAGCTTCCATCTTGGACATAAAAGCGATGGCAAGGCTTGGTGCTAAACGCTGTCGCATGGCCAATCCTCTAAGCAAAATATTCTCCAGACCACCGGAAGATTGAATAACTAAGACACTGTTTTAAGAGAGTCAGTAGTTGCACAATCGACAAGCCGTACCTTTCTATTTCCTTTTCGTGCACTATGAGCAGCTCGAAAATGGCTTGCATTGCGGAGTCATTCGACACGTTGTTATAAAGTGAAGTAACATCTTTTTTACTCAATTTCGTTCAACATCGTGAGAGGTGATTCAAAGCATATCCCGCCTTTACTATGACTAGTGGTGGCCTACTGATGTATCAAGTCGGACTGCTATCTTCCCGGAGAAGTCTGGTGGCAATTCGTCAACCCGGGAGTGATGGAAGGCCCGGTGGGCCTGGAGCCTGGGATTGAACCCATGCGCACTGGAAGGTGCCTCTAGCCACTGCGCTACACGCGTCCCATTTTCAAATTAAGCCGTGTCAACAAACATGTGCTTTTTCATCTGCATATCTGAGGGTTAGCGATTTAGAGCCACAATGGCAGGTATGGAGAGTAAAGCGAGAATTCATCCATTTGTAGAACATTCACTTCTTAACTGAGGTCCAAGTTTTGCGATTATCACAGCATCATTGTGGTTGTAACTAACATCATATCCCGCTGAGAAAATTAAAGTAGGCAGCAAATAAAAAAGTTAACATTGTGATGCACTTCTTATTTTCTTTTCATAGCCCTCTGTCTACACGTTGAATAAGTCGATTCAATCAATTAATTAAATTAATTAATCAATCGGTCCAATCGATTTTCGGTTTATGAGAGAACAACTGGAAAAACTGAAGCCTTGAGTGGTCGGAAAATAATGTATGTAGGACTACTGATTAAGAGAAATAGTTCGCTCATTGTAAATGGCGTTACTGTCTCAGCTGTGATGAAATCAAAGACCAATGAACAATATTGCTAACAATTCAAAAGACCAACTATCTGTAAACCTCGGCATGAGTAGTTCGTATATTAATTCATTTGATCTCATAAACTGATCTTGTTTAGCTCATACGAAGTTGGTGTAGATGTAGGTTATTGCGGCGTTGAGCTCCCAACTTTATATGAATACCTAAGTCGTTGTGAGTATTAGTCCTTGTAGCTGCCACGCGGGTCTTTTCTGTGTAAGTCGCTGAGTCGAACGCTGGGTTACCACTTTTGTAATAATAGTAGCAATAACAACAATAACAGTAGAGCGAAGTTAATGGACGAGTTAGGCGATATGAACGAACTGGATGGACACTGGACGAACACTGCGAACACTTGAAGACGTAAGGCCGTGGAATGTCTGTATTACTTCTGTAGTGGGTGGAGCATTGCTAGAGGGAACTAAAGACAGCGCTTGGAGAGGGGTCCTAAAGGTTCTTCTACTAGCACAATCTGATAGAGCTACATGTGAAAGGGTACAGCTGCTCGTTCGGAAACTTCTTTAGGACGGCAACTAAGTGCTTTAGAACTGCTAACTTCATATGAATACCAAGTCGTTGTGAATATTAGTCCTTATAGCTGCCACGTGCGTCTTTTGTGTGTAAGTTGCTGAATCGAACGCTGGGGTAAAACTTTATGGCTATAGTATCAACAACGACAATAACGGTACAGCAAAGTATATGGATGAGCTTTCGGTCTATATGAAGGAACTAGATGAACACTGGACGAACGCTATGAACACTTGGAGACGAATGGCCATCGGTTGTCTGTATTACTTCTGTAGTGGGTGAAGCTTTGCCGGAGGGAACTTAAGACAGCACCTAGAGAGAGGTTCTAAAGGTTTTTTCTACTAGCACAGTCTGATAGAGCTACATGTGAAAAGGCACAGCTGCTCGTTCGGAAACTTCTTTAGGGCGGCAGATGCTGGAAAGCGCATTCAGCTGACTGTTGCTGATTCAGTGCCCGAACTGTCGGACAAAGAGGAGCAGTTTTATTGAAAGAAGTTATAGAATCCCTTTCCAGTCACCTGCGAGGCAACTGCATGATATAGTGGCAAAGAGGCAATTTAGAGATGATGCGAAGATAGATTTAAGATAGTTACAAGTGAACAAGAAACATACACTAATATAAGAATAGGAACTATTTGATAGATAGTTCGTATGAGGTTTTTGTTGTCGTTATTGTTGTTGTTGTTGTTGTTTTTGTTGGTCAATGACTGACGTTTTGGAGATTTCGGCTTCTTCAGAGCCTAGACATATTTTATGTAACACTAGGCATATATTCGATGAAATATCCATAGTGTTACTATATGCATATTGACGTATTATCTCATGTAAGTCATGCGGTGAGGAATACATCGGGGAAACGGGTAAACCGGTTTATGTCCGCATAAAAGAGCATCTAGATGGAAAAGTCAAAATTCGTCAAAACATTTCTCTAGGGGTACACATAGAGCACAAAACACAATGGCAACAACTTTGAAGTGGCTCTTCAGATCCTCGCAGGAATCGAAAACACCAACGCGCAAGATTCTTGAGACGTTCTTGATAAATTTCAAAAATTCGAGGATGAATCGGAAAGATGAACGCCTCGATATCACACGTAACCTGGCGCCTTATTTCAAAATGATTTTTTAACCTCTGGGTGTATCTGTAATGGTCGCCGTCCCAGGGGAACAATACGCGGGTAGTCCCACTTATAACAGCACAATGAGTAGTCTTTTTGATCAATATGGGGCTTATTTATATGTTAAATCTTCATTAATAGTGCAGATATTTCATCGAATATAAGACTACTGTTACAATAAAACAAGGCCAAGCTCTGAGGCAGGGGAGATCGTCAAAACGTTAGCCATCGACGGAGAGCAACAATAACAACAACAATAACAGCAACAACAATAATAACACCAACAGCAACAACAACAACAGCAACAATAACAACAACAAGAACAAGAAACCTAACGAAAACCTTTACAAACCTCGGATCAGCTTAAAAAGGTTAGTTTATAAGATCATACAAATAAAAATGGCAAATAAATCTGAGCGAGGGAATGGCAAATGAAATTTGAATCCAAAAATTCACCGTTGAGTTAAGCAACTGACTTCAAACGCAATGCATGACTTTCGGTCAACAGCTACTTGAGCGGCGGTTTGATTACGATAGTTTTCATCAGGCTCTTTAGAATAATTTATAGAGTGTAGGAAACAGGAAGCGAGGTAATCTGCAATTCATTAATAACTAATCATGTTCACAATGTTTCTGTTTCGACATCCTACTTATTGGAGAAACGTTATTATCAAAAGAGAAAAAATGAGGAAAACAAACTTTTAAGATTGCACCTAAATGGCTTTTTTTACGAGAATACTGTAGAAGATCCTTTTACAGAAGTTAGAGCTACAACTGGTATTATCGCCTTAATTGTGCTTACTGGACACGTAATAGGTTCAGAAATAAATGAGCGTTTTAAAATATTTGTTGTTTTTATGTATTTTTTACCAAGAAGATATTCCTTGTAGTTTTTATATGTTGTCAAAAGTTAAATTTTTTGCTAACTGTGAGCTTTGCAGTTTTAGATGTCAAAGAGGAATTTTCGTCAAATATTCTTTCATGAGTTCAAACTCGGTCTCGGAGACGGCTCGAAACATCAACCATGTTTGGGGTAAAGATAGCGTTGATGAATGAACAGTGTAAAAATTATTCCGGAGGTTCCGATCGAGTGATTTCGACCTCGAAGAATCGAACAATGCTAACGATAAGAAAAGAGGAAGAAACAAAGAACAGGAGCAAGAGTGGATTCATATGGAGTCGAAGGAGAGACCAAGCCTAGCGGCTTAATGTGGTAAAAAGATCGTTTAGCTCTTCGCATATAAAAACTAGAAATAGGATAAAGCTCTCGGCGTTGATCAATCCTTGAGGGATGCGCCATGCATGACTTCATTAAGTATCGTTGGAGGTGATTCAATGCATATCTGGCCTTTACAATGACTCGCGGTGGCCTACTGATGTATCTACCCAGTGCTGCTATTCTCCCAGACAAGTCTGGTACCAATTTGCCGACCCCGGAGTGATAAAAGGCTTGGTGAGCCATGGAAGCGGGGATTACCTCCACGTGTGTGTCACAGTGGCACCCACAACCACTGCGCCACACACGCCCTTTTTTCGCATATGATAGTGGATTTAACTGTTGGGGAAGCATTTCTACGACTGGTACAATCCAACTGTTTTTCTTGCGCATGCAAGCGGACTGCATGTCACTGTTGAAATATAATTATGGAACTTTTCAACTCCAAAGTACAAATATTTCAAACATCATTCCGTAAAGTGTACCACTTTTACCTCAGATTCTCCTTTACCTTTAACATCTTTAAGCTCTTTTAGGTAGACCATTTATTGCCAATGAGAGTAAACGAGTACTCAGTGCCGCATGTATTGTCTGCAAGACACCTGATAAACCAACCGGAGAAGTTTCAGGCTCAACTTCCAGCTGACATTTATTCACTCAGCTGTTTTGCTGACCGGCCTTTGACTTCGCCTTCCATATAAAGAAACTCTCAAGATAAAGTGGTACCACCGATCACACACTGGTAAACCTACAGCTTGCTTTGTTTGCTCGTTGTCCTTGCCTCACTCTACGAAAAACTCAAGGTAAACCTGTATTATAAATGCAGTGGCAAGAAGATACTGCATACAATTTTAATTTATTGTCCTGTACCTCAACATTTTCGATAAGCATTAAATTATTCTAGATTGATGCAATAAGAAGTCATCAATAATGTGTGAGGATGGCCAACCCTCTCATCGACGAGACTACTATAAGTGGCAATGATGTTGAGATATTTGCGAAACTCCGGACCGCAAGTGTCTGCGGTAGGAAGCGAAAATCAGTAATCTTCAGAGTAAGCCATCAATTCAATAAGTAGTTCGGGTACCTCCTCTCAAAGGTTTACTGCCTCATCGTAGCTGGGAGGTGCTCCTGGGTGTCGGACTGCGATTCACAGCGGAGGATTCATCCCTTGGCAGGGTCTCCCAAGCTGAGAAGGAATCCGGCGTTTCTATCAGGAATCCTAGCTAAGAGTACACCAATACCAGGATCCACCACCGTTCTGGTAAAAAAGTCGCATGGTGGCAAATATCCCTCTGATGCACAAGGGCTGCGACTGCCTGTGGTGGTGAAGACCTGGAGCAGACTTTGGCCAGGGTGACCTTGGGACTCCAGAGAACTATAATGGCTTAACCAGCAAATCTCCGAAAAATTGAGATTATGCTGCGACCCGTACAACCAGTGAGGACGGGCCATTCAAGTGTCCAGTATTCAGGTACCTTGCAAACATGTGGTCATTGGTTGGATCCCGTACCTTCATCTGACCGAGGTTCGTTGAGTACCGTCAGTTTGTATCACTTTGGGATCATCCTTAGCGATCGACAAATTGGTAGGTGGATTGCCCGGCGAGACAAAAAGCTGATGTGATACAACTATTTGCTCCCCACGTTATGACATATGCCAAATATGCATTCGTTTAACTCTACGATGGCTAGTAAAGGATAGGTAAATAATCGCCTGTCACCTGTATCACCTGTAGTCCCGTTGGTCGTCGAGTGACTCGAGCGGGCGCCAGTAAATTTTCCACTTTTCATCGTCGCGTGCAAGAGTAGCCCAATGGGGTCTGCTCGCTCTAGGGACTCATCGAGCATCATGTCTTTCTTCTAGGCTCTTTGTGAAGAACTCTGACCATCGGGTCGGTGGTTTTCCTGCAGTACGTTTGACATCCCGAGGAATCCAGTCACTAACGGCTCCTGTCCATCCGTTGTTGTCCGTACGTATTACGTGTCCGGCCCACCTTATCTGTTTGGCGTACAGAACAGCATCTTTGATTTCTGGTCGTTGATGCAGATCGGAGCTTGGGACTTTATCCCTTATTTGTGTGAAGCGGGATACTCCAAGCATCATCCCTTCGACTGTGCGTTCAATAACGCTGACGGATCTTTCATTCTGCTTAAGCATAGACCAGGTTTCTGACGCATTCGTTACGGCAGGAAGTACCGTTGAGTCGAAAAGGTGGGCATGGAGTCGGGTGTTCTTTGTTCTCTTCACTACATCCTCAATGCTCTTGAAAGCTCACCAAGCCGTTCGTTTTCTTCTGCTCAGCTCTGAAGCTAGGTCGTTCATCACATTGATATCCCGACCTTTAAACATTCCTCTTGGTAGGCATGGGGCACAAAAGCACAATGGCAATGATTTTTAAGTGACTGTGCGGATCCTAGCTCAGGAATCGAAAATATCAACGCGAGAAACTCTGGAGGGGTTTTGGATAGATTTCAGATATTCAAAGATGAACCGGAAAGACAAATGCTCTCACTATCACGCGTAACCTGGCGGTCTATTTCAAAATGATATTTTGACTCCGAGGTGTGTCTTGCTCGCGACCCCACGTGAAGTACGGCTAGTCCCACACGTAACATCACGGTGAGTGGCCTTTCTGTTCAATATGGCGTCTATTTGAAAGTTTGATCTTCATTAATACTTTAACCTTTCTTTTCCACCGAATAATAAAAATATTCTAATATAAAATACGTCTAGGCTCTGAGGAAGGCGAAGTCGCCGAAACCTCAGTCATCGATCAATAACATCAAAAACAACGACAACGACATCGAAGATCTGTACCAACCTCGCGTCAGCTTAGGAAGATCAGTTTATAAGATCATATAAATAAATATGTCAACTATCTATGCTGAGGCTTACAGAAAGTCGGTCTTTCGAATTACTTCTTATTTTCCGAAATATAGAAGGACCGTAGTCGACGAAAAAATTGCTTGAAATCGGATGGGCCAACCACGAAACACGGCATCGGTGCATTATGGGTTAAGAAATAATGGACACAGGAGTACATGGCCACTGTTGGAAAGAAAAATCACCTTGTTTTTAATGGCTCTGACGTTCTCCACGGATCTCCCTCATATGAGGGATCTCGAGCCGGTTAGTCGCGAGGCTACGTGGCGCTTCCCCAGGTTGCGGACAGGGGGTTAATCGCGGACGAAAAGCGACCGTATGTTTTTCTGAGACACAGGTGGATCCAGGGGATAGACTCCCTGCTTCTGCTGCACTGATTTGGCACATACTTTCTGCATTTGCTAGGCGTATTCATGCATGCGTCTGTGGGTGCGTTCTCGCTTATGCGGATTGCATTCTACGAGTCAATTCAGCCAAAAGCCTGCAATTAAGCGACTAGGAAGTATATGGGAGGCGGTTAGGAGTCCACTCTAACAAATAAGCTCCATGTCCACTCTGGGAGAACCTGGCAAGCTACCCGTGAGTATACCCAGTTCCCATGTTCAGAACACAACAAGCTATACGTGGGTATCAAAAATGCTAAACACAGTAGAAAAAACGGACCTCATTTCCCTGACCCCGAAAGAGCTCCCAATTTCGCAGCGTTGGGTAGGACGAGTACGTAGAGGCTGCTGAAATCTCAGGGCCAGTGGAAGTTGGCTGGATTTCAAAGAACTATGGTGACTATCTGCACCTACAATGCACGTACACTTGCATCCGAGTCCTCGATAAAAGACTTGCTCATGCAAGCAAGAAGGATAAGGTACGACGTCATCGGCCTGGCCGAGACGAGACGACGCCAGCCTTTCAACTCGGTCCATGACACCGGTGAAAAACTGTTGCTCTGAACATGCGATAGTAGAGGAGTCGGCGGCGTCGGCGTTCTCGTCAACACGAGTTTCTCCATTAACCTTGATTCATTCGAACAACTAACAACTCGGATAAGACGTTTACGGTAAAAAAAAAAGACGGTCAATTCCGGCTTTGATAATCTTCGTCGTTTACGCGCCGACATCATACTATGACGAAGAAAAAGTCGAAGCGTTCTATATGACTTGGAGAAGTTCTACAGAGAAGACCATTCTCCAAGGACATCATCGGAGATTTCAACACCAAGATTGGACCAAGAACAACGTCTGAAGAACGTTACATTGCGACCCACGGATTAGAGTGGAGCGAACAGGGTGAGCGGCTATCTGAGTATATCATGTCGACAAAGACAATCCATGGTAACTCGCAATTCCAGAAGCCCCACCTTCAGCGCTGAACGTGGGAGTCACCCAATGGAGAGTACCATAATGAAATAAACCATATCATAGTAAACAGAAGGTTTTGCCTAACCGATGTCGCTATTCTCCCAAAATTTTACACGGGATCACATCATCGTCTCCTCCGTGCAAGATTCTATTTGTCGCGGAAAGGAGAAAAAGCCGATAAATTCCAAAACCGAAGTCCCAGAACCACCGTAAACTGGGATTGATTCAATTCATTAGTTGGCAGTGCGAAGATGCCGTTGTCGAGAAGAAGAATACGATCGCCTCATCCTACATCTTCACGCTAGCGCTATGAAAGCTGAGAGTTCGAAAGCCGCCAAGAGACGTCTGTCTCCAGAAACATTCGAGCTGATACGCCAACGCGGAATGGGACGAGCTGCAGGCAACCGCGAACTAATGTCCGAACTTGGAAAGCAATGCAGACAGGCGATAGAAGAGGATCTTAAAGAGAGAAGACCAACAGTAATGGCCGAAGCTGCAGAGGCTGGAAAAGTATTCGCAAAGCCCACCGATGCTTCTTCAATTGCAAGACCAAGATGATTGCATTTCGACAGCCAGTCGGAACAGTTACAGCGTCCAGAAAGGCAACGGAGAAAATCATTCACGAATAATATTCGGATGTCTTCGATAGCCACGTCTACCTTTCGTCATATGAAGTAAAGGAGGATGGATATGTTGTATCACCGGTTCTCCCTTCCGAAATCCGACATCCCATTTCGTCGGTGAAAAAAAGAACAGCACCAGGTCCGGACAGGATAAGACCAGAGCACCTGAAGAACCTTCCGCCAGTCCTCATAAACACACTAGCTCGGCTCTTCACACGTTACCTATCTGAATACAAAGGTCTCTACTCGCTGGAAAACCAGCAAGACTGTGTCATTGTTCAAGAACGGGGACCTACGCGATAACGGTAACTATCGCTCAATCTGCTTGCTGTCTGTTGATGGGTCACATCCACACAATAGCAAGACTCATGTTGTGTCACCAGAGTAGAAAAGACCTCTCTGTCTCACTTTTATCGATTTACAGAAGGCCTTTGAATCAGTTGAGATAGGAGTGTTGGAAGCCCTTGATAGTCAAGAAGCCCCTACTCGGTATATAAAGATTCTTCGTGAGCTGTACAAAAATTTTACAACCAAGATCTCACCATTCTACAGCGTTATTAACATTAACGTCAAAAGAGGGGTTAGGCAAGGCGACACCATCTCGCCAAAATTATTCATCGCCACCCTCTAGAACGTTATGAGAACATTGGAATAGGATCACATGGGAGTGAAAATCGATGGTCGGCAATTATGACATCGTCCTTATAACACCAAACATTAGCCTAGCGGAACGTATGCTTGATGACTTTGACAAAGCCAGTGGAAAGATTAGTCTTCGACTAAATCTCACACAAACGATGTGAAGACGCTACTTCCTGCCGTAACGTATGCGTCAGAAACCTGGTCGCTGCATAAGCAGGATGAAAGGTCACTCAGCATTGTTGAACGCGCAGTCGAAAGGACAATGGAAAGAGTATCCACACAAGGGATGGGAGCCGAGGCTCCGATGTGCGCCAACGATCAAAAATCAAAGATGCCGTTGGGTACGCCACAGTTGAAGATAAGGTGGACCGGCCACGTAATGCGTATGAATAACAACCGATGGACAAGAGCCGTTAGTGACTGGATTTCTCGGTATGTCAAATGTACTGCAGGAAGACCACCGACCCGATGGTCAGAGTTCTTCACGAGGAGCCTAGAAGAAAGATATGGTGCTCGACGAGTCCCTAGAGCGAGCAGAACCCACTTGGCTACTCTTGCGCGCGACAGGGAAAAATGGAAGATTTACTGGCGCCTGTACGAGTCGCTCCATAATCAACGGGACTACGGGTGATAGTGATGGCGTTCTTTAACATAAGAATTCTTCAATGAGAGTTCTTTAACTAGGATCAAAGAACAGCGAACGAAAAGAGTACAGAAAGTCGATGGGTCAGTGGCACCTGGAATGTGGGCACAATAGCTTCATATTGTCGACAAGTCGACCAATAGACATTATCTAATAGAAAACACATTCCCTATTGTAACTTTGCTTTTTATACGTTATCATAGTGCTGAATGCCCTACATTCATATCCCAACCTAACCATCGGGCACGCCAGTAGATACGTCAACTATAACCATCAGATACACCACCAAGCATGCTACCAGGCAGGACGCATGGCTTAGGGCGAGACCATACGACCCGTGGCATGACCTGCGACCCACGTCACCCTCTCGGATCTAGCCACGCCTCTTAGCACGGCCGTTTGAATTCTGACGACGCCTAGAGTTCGCCAATACCTCTTTCATCATTATCTTGATATCCCACTTAATCTTGTATCCATTCTTCTTCGTCTATTTGCTTGCGAAGTAATGTTGTTAAATGAATTTTCCGGCTGTTGCTTTATCAACGTACTTAGGTTATCATCAACCTTTCATTTAGCTACTACTAGCTGCTAATATATTAACTTTTTGAAATATTTCCACTCATTACACGCACTCTACGAAATTAACCACTGCCGCACCAATTGATGTTTAGGCAAACATAACGTAAAGTGCCACGACCGACTTTCTATTAACCTCGGCATTGATCAAGTGATTTTCTTCAAACTTTTGTTGAGCAAACGCGAGGTGTTACTATTCTTTGTTCACGATTAAGCTGACGTTTCGGCGAATTTCTCCTTCTTCAGAGCCGCTTTCTATGAGGTTTCCACTAAGTATGTCACGTAGAGACCAACCGCACAGAAATCACGTGGAAGTATAATGTATACATGTCTTATCATCTCTCATGTCTTTAAAGTCCTGCCCTATATTGTTGTACATAACTGTTAGTGTATTGAATTTAACCAGATTACTACCTACTGTGCCACCTTACTTGCAATTTATTGTGTATAAGTTTCTAGCCTAATTACGTTATCATGTAAATACTGTGTATATAAACCGTTTAATTACCCAAGTTCGAGGTGTCTAGCATTGTGACTGCTAATCACGGAAGCCCGGCGTGGCACAGGCAAAGGCGAGTAACTAATCCGACCGAGTCTTCTTAACTACTTGGTATTCATATATATGCGAGCTGCCCCAATACATATATTTATTTATACAATCTTATAAACTATTCTTATTGAGCCATTGCGAGGTTGGTGTAGGTCTTCGTTGTCGTTGCTGTTGGTGTTGTTGGACTATGGGTGACGTTTCGGCGATTTCGTCTTCCTCAGAGTCTCCGGAGTCCTACTCGTAACACACGACATCAACAACAATGACAACGAAGACCTATACCAACCTCGCATTGGCCTAACAAGATCAATATATAAGATCGTATAAATAAATATATCAACTATTTATGCAGAGGTTTATACATAGTCGGTATTTTGAACCTTAACAGCTTTTGTTTTTTGGTTAGCCAGCTTTCCCATAGACAGTGCACGATTTCTGGCCAGCAGCTACTGCTGTGCTCGTCGTTTCACTCTCAGTAACACCTTTTATCTTTGTCTAGAAAAATTTAAACAACAAACAATAGAGAGAAAACGAAACGAAAGTGAGAAAATTCACAAGAGAGGATGAGCATGGAAAGTATATGTGCTTTGAATTTAGATTTTTAGGAAGGCTGTGTACCCACACTTCGACTGCAATAAACAGCTTATAGAGAGACAAAAAAAAGTCGAAATAGTACCGAAACTAACCTTTCAACGACTATTACCGTGCCATCGAGGAGAAATGAGACGACCTGGCACCTCCGGTTCTAATCCTTTCTTGATTCTCTAACTATATCATTACAATGTACGTTGCCATTCAGCGTTTCAAACCCATCTGCATCGTTTGAAATTTATAGCACTGTAAAAAGGCTGCGGAGAGTCAGTTCCAGCATGGGAACGTGGGTATGTTTTTTGAAAGGCAAAGTTTAGATAAAGGAGGATTTTAAAGCGCGATCACTTACCATTTATCCATAAATTCTGTCACACTTCATTTCCGTATCCACTATTCTTCAGAGTTGTCCTTCTTTAAACTGCTCTGGATAGCCCGTTGAGGGTCATTGAGAGCAAACCAGTGCTCAGTACCGCTTATTGACTAGCAATCGCGCATTGTCTACGAAGGCGGCTGTTTAATCAACAGGCGAAGTTCCAGGCTCAAATTCTAGGTGTCATCCATCCATTCAACATTGTGTACTGTTTTGCTCACCGCTCTTTGATTCCTTTTTCAGGCTAGAGAATTATGACCAATTGCACACAATTGAACTACTGCTTGCTTTATTAGCCCTTGTACATGCGGTCTATCATCTGACTTCTACGTACGATATTTCTCACCCAGTTTCTTATAGTTTTCTATGATTAATTTTTCTAAGTGGTGAAGTGAGCACGTTGAGGGTTCTGATGATGAAGAATAAGCGAAGATATTGCTTGCAATATTATATCTCTAACTCCTTTGTTCAACTTTTGAGATCTTTTTTCATTTATTTATTTATATGATCTCATAAACTGATCTTCTTAAGCTGACGCGAGGTTAGTGGAAAAAATACTCACCGGATAATAAAAATATTCCAATATAAAATACGTCCAGGCTCTGAGGAAGGTGAGGTCGCCGAAACGTAAGCCATCGACCAACAACAACAACAACGACAACGGCAACGAGGACCTGTGCCAACCTGGCGTCAGCTTAAGAAGATCAGTTTATAAGATCATATAAATAAATATATCAATTGTCTATGCCGAGCTTTATAGAAAGTCAGTCTTTCGATCCATTCAGAGATGCTCTTTCATTTAATTCCGCTCGACGTTCCGGGATGGGAGTTGCATTAATGGCAACCACAGTTTTGGCCAACTGTGTAGGCGCAGGGTTATTCGATCGGCTCGAAACGACAAATGAACGAACCACCAGCAAAGACGACTTTGAAGCAAAACTAAAAGAAGGATATAACTTGCTCAAAAATGTAAGACTCTGTCAATAATTGCATGCCCAAATCCCAAATATTGTTAAGCTTTGCTAACAGTGTGCTTTTTTCTCAGGAACCTAATGAGGCTGATACAATGAATTTTCTCGAGCAATTGCACAATATGCAGGAAGAAATAAAGAATGGACTTAACGAATCTTCAAAACAGAGTGCTGACTTATCAAGTGAATTATTGGTCAGTAAATCATTTCTCATTTGAGGATGAGACAAGAAATGTTATCGAGTTTTTAGAAGTACATGGCCATGGAAAGGGATCACATCGAACCAATGGGTGACTCAATCGAAGAAATCAACAAGAATAGCAAAGTCGATACCGCGCTGTTTCAAGGAGACATGATCCTCACCAAGTTCGTATTTTTATAGGCCCCTACTGATTAGCTACTTTGCTTCTGCTTCTCTAGGCTTTGTTTTCAGAGAGCAAGCACAGGCGATTATGAAGGACATCAACGAAAACGCGAACAAACGCAATAAACGACAAGCATACCGTGACTACAAATATCCCAGAACATTATGGTCAAATGGAGTCACTTACTTTTTCAGATCGAGTACATGTGCGTTTCCCTCAAAGTCTTTATTCCCACCACATCACATCAAGTTTCAAATTGATCAAATTCGCAAAATTCAATTTACTTCAGCAGAAGGAGTGAGAAGAGTGTTCAGAAAGGCTGCTGAACTGTGGTCTTCAGACACATGCATTAACTTCGACGAAAACAGTGCAGGTAAGCAACAGACAAACACTGAGGAAAAGAGGATAGAAGGACAGCTCTCGGCTTTGATCAAGCCCTGAGAGATGCACCACGCATTCGACATCATTAAGCATTGTTGGAGGTGATTAAATGCATATCTAGCCTTTAGAAGGATTCGCGGTAGTTTACCGATGTATCGAGCCAGTGTTACTTTCCTTCCAGAGAAGTCTGATACAAAGTCAGCATGGGGCACTGGTATCGATCCATGTGTTCATAAGATCGACTTTCTATTAAACTCGGCATTGGACTATAAATCTGTCAACGTTGCTGAGATATTTGCAAAACTCTGGACCGCAGGTGTCTATGGTGGGGAACGAACGCGCTATTGTCCTTTCCGGGGAGTAACGCGTTCACCCCCACACCATGCGGCTACTTCGTTTCGCCTGTCTCTCAGCTATTTCTATCGATCTTTTTGCCACAGCAATCACCCGTCAGCGGGGTTTGACGTCGGCGTTCGTTCCCCACCATAGACACCTGCGGTCCAGAGTTTTGCAAATATCTCAGCAACGCGGTTGTATTTCGCTTAGTAACCTGCCATCAAAATTATAGAAGGCAGAGAACAAAACATTAAACATTATAAATCTGTCGTTTTCTTTTTTTCTACCAATCACAAAGTTATTCAACACTTCATTACGCATAAAACACATACAACACAACGGTAGCTGACGGTTTAGCATCAAAGCCTGGAAAGGTACACTGATATGTAATTTACTTGGTCAAGCACTTCAACAGCACAAACAGAAAGACGAAACTCTGAGCAGTAGTTACACGATCACCGACTTCTCGAAAAACCCACCCTTTTCTTTATTTGCCTTTCACCGAAGAAGAAGAGCCGCTCAGAGTCGCATATGGTTGATGACTACACCAACCCACATCAAAATCAATTCTGGGATACGAGGCTAGATCACGTGTTATCTCCTGGCACGCACCAACTTCTCGAGACTATATGAGCAGTTTTTTCTTGAGATAACCTTTATTAGCGATGAAATAACTGTAGCGAAAAAAACGATGCTTAAGAGGAGCAGATCTGGAAGAATCGGTAGCGATAATTGAAATGCTATCGAATACTCTTTGGCGTCAGTTAGTTCGTAACCGCCTATACAACCCTCTATGTAAAACACGGAATTGCGTAATTTGCCCTTACGGTAAGGACGGTGATTGCATGAGTTCAGGTATTATAAACCCGATTTCTTGTAGTGCTTGAAGAGACGAACATATTGTCGAAACGGGCAGACCTTTGTGTATCCGCATAAAAGAGCATGTCGATGGCAAACGAAAAGCAAGACGAAGTACCCCACTAGGCACGCATAAGATACAAAAGCGCAGTCGAGACGATTTTGATGTAAAAGTCCCTATCCTCGCACAGGAGACTAGAACACCAACGCGCAAACTTTTCAAGGCCTCTTGGATGAATGCCAAAAATCCGAGACTTTAATAATCACTTAACAGCAATGTTCCTAGATACCGACAAAATCGAAGTCGTTCAAAGGAAAGGATGCTGGTCATATCTTGGAAGACGGGGAGGTGTGCAATCTCTCTCTCTTGGCCGGGGATGCGAGACGGTATGACCAAGTAAACCTTTCTTGATGTTTGTACGAAACTCTCTTTTGGAGGCTTTTCTGGTAGGAAATAAACATGAAAGGTTGGCATTTATGAGTAGCTCCACGACATTCCTATTTCATGCAGGTTGGAACTGCTACGCATGAAATCGGTCACGCTTTGGGTCTCTTCCACACTCAGGCAAGACACGACCGTGACAGTTTCATCACAGTACATAGGCAAAACTTTTTGGTGAATATGAAACAAGGAATACCACCTAGGTAGAAACGAATAACGCTGAATACGACTTCAGCCTGAATGGTTGCCTCAAGCTGCGAAGGAAAGCAAACGGACTAACTACAACTATAACCTGACATACGATTATGGAAGTGTTATGCATTACGGAGCATGGAGGTAGGATTGCTTCTGAATTTTTCAATATAAAAACACGCAAAAGTGATAAATGTTTTAATTGCAGAATATCAAAAAACAGAATGCCCGTATGGACACCTCATGATATGAAGTATTTGCAAACCCTTGGGTCTGCGATGATCTCATTCTACGAGAAACTCATGGTCAATCTGCACTACAAATGCCTTGGCAAGAAAACACAACATACGTCTTTGATTTGCTGTAAATATTTTCTGCTATCATTGATTTATCCTAGATAAATGCAAAAGAAGCTCATCGGCAACTTGCGAAAACGGTGGCTTCCCTCATCCAAGAGACTGCTCTAAGTGTATTTGTCCTAGCGGGTACGGCGGAAGACTTTGCAGTGAACGAGTGAGATTTTTTTGTTTATCTGAAGTGTTTCTTTCTTTATGCCTGTTTAAATATAGAAATTGTTCTCTCTAGCCAAGTGGATGCGGTAAGACACTAACGGCAACCACTTCATTCCAAACCGTTGAAGACAAAGTAGGTGAAAAGGGTGCTACCAAAGCAAGCCCCGACTTTAAGATGTGCAACTACTGGATTGAGGTATGACAATCAATGCTCACTTGCAGTAACATTGATATTTGTACCATTGCTCCTATTTGTTTTTTGTCCTTTTTTTGTATGTACCATTTTGTTTTTCCGCTTTCAATTTCCAGAGGACGTTTCTGTGTATGCGCTCGTAATATTTCATTCATGGGTTGCAATTGCTTAGGCGCAAAACACTAGGTGGTTAGTTCTAGTTACACTAGATGGTAGTTCTGCATTGTTCGAAGATCAATAACTACTCAAGTTTCTTCGAAGTCATTTTCTTACCGCGACCTAAATCATAGCCTCCCAGCGGTTTACCGCCTCATCGTGGTTGGGAGGTGTTCCTGGGTGCCGGACTGCGATGTACAGCGGAGATTCATCCCCTGACAGCGTCTGCCAAGCTGAGAAGGAGCCCGGCGCTTACATCAGGAAGCCTAGCTAAAGATAAACCGATACCAGGATCTACCACCGTCTTGGTATTAAAGTTGCATGGTGACAAATCTCCTTCTGACCCACAAGGATGGCGATTGCCTGTGGTGGTGAAGACCGGGGCAGACTTTGACCAGGTTGACCTCGAGATTCCGGGGAACCACAATGGCTTAACCAGCAAATCTCCGAAAAATGGTGACTGCTGCACAAGTAGTGATGACGGGCCGTTCAAGTATCAAGTAAGTTCCTTAAGGCGCCAGCGGGTTCAACGATAGAGGTGGTTCTTGACGAATATACACAAGGAGTGGCTACCGATGGCTGTCCGTACACGGGAGTTGAGATCAAAACGGGAAAAGATAAGCGCCATACCGGTTATAGGTGAGCGACTAACACTGTAGAGTGTTTAACGTTTTGTTTTCTGCCTTCTATAATTTTCATGGCAGGTTACTAAGCGAAATACAACCACAACGTTGCTGAGATATTTGCAAAACTCTGGACCGCAGGTGTCTATGGTGGGGAACGAACGCGCTATTATCCTTTCCGGGGAGTAACGCGTTCACCACCACACCATGCGGGTCCTTTGTTTCGCACGTCTCTCAGCTATTTCTATCGATCTTTTTGCCACAGAAATTACCCGTCAGTTTACTGTAGAGTGGTTGTTAATCTAAAACGAGATTGATGTAAAAGTTTATTCGATTAAAGTTTCGGTTTTTCCATCTTCTTTAGAGCCGATGACTAGAGTCGGTGGTCCACATTCGTTCACCTTCGTGATGTGGTGTCTAGGTTTTCTTTTCGGGTGGAATGTTTTCTTGTACAGCGGCATTGTCGAGTGAGAATACTTCACTCGATAGACGCCCTACTGAGTAAGATTGCGCTCTATACGAATACGAGGACCATGAGGGGACGAACGAGTGTGAATCACCGTCTCGGACGATCGGCTCTGAGGAAGACGAAGACGTCGAAACGTTAGCCGAATAAACCTTTTTATCAACCTTGTGTTAACTTAATAACGCAAAAAGGAACTGTTTATTAATATCGAGGCTGAAATACGGTCGGCTCGAAAAGTACTCATTCTCTATGTGTTTTAAATGTTTAGATTCTGCTCACAGAAAGATGTTGGAACATCTTTGATTTCTGCTCACAATGTCGTTCCAGTGATTACATACAGCAGATATTGCGAGGCTACAACCGTTTTCCGTTATAGAATAGGTTATGTTCAATTCATACACTGTTAATTTATCTTAACTCTTTTATTTACTGCCTTTTTCTTCTTAATGGCAGGGTATGTTGTGAAATATAACTCGTATGAAGTGCTGAGATATCTGCAAAACTCCGGACCACAGGTGTATGCAGTGGAGAACGAACACGCGCTGTTGTCCTTACCGTTCCTTACCTTGTGTTTCCTTACCTTACCGCTGTTGTCCTTACCGTCCTTACTGTTAATTTATTGTTTTTTTTTGACGAGCAAGCACTAGGTTTGTACTACAGTATGCCTTAATACACAGGACCTGATGTCTCGACGGTTTCGTTTTCTTAAAAGTTTGAAAAGCTCAAACTGACATGCGGTCTATTCAACCAAATATTTTGAGAACCTAAACAGACTGAACTTATAACATAAATTCCCATTTGCATAATCAGATGAGTGTTAAAAACTTCTTTACTGCGCGGATGGAAAATTATATTTAAAGTTATGTTTCCAGAGGTTATGAAAACGTTTGGCTGAGAAGTTTGAACGTCAAGTTGATCTTTCCAGACTTTGAAGAAGGGGGAATCTCCGAAATGTCGGCTATTATGCACTCTTATGCATTAATAATTGCTGTAATTCCAACCTCATGTTTCCGTATAGAGAAAAACAGTGAATTATTGATCAGTGCCGAGATTAGTAGAAAGTCGGTCTTGGGAGTTACTGGGAGTCTGTAATTTGCTACGCTAGCTGTTAAATTGAACTCTAACTTCAATGTTTTTCATCAATAAGCAGACACGAAGTTGTTAATATAGAATTTATTAGAACACAATTGCTGACGTTTCGGCGGTTTCGCCTTCTTCAGAGCCTGGAAAGGTCAAATTGAGATGCGATCTACTCAGCCAAACACTTTCATAACCCTAGCAGATAAAACTTGATAAATCGATTTATGTTCGCATAAGAAACAGCTTCATTCAAACACCTACCGTTTATTTGTCGTAAGTATTTAAGTTAGTTGGTGGATAGCCGC